TTGTGGTAGGTAGGGACGCTGTACAGTGGCTAGCATTGCCCTCAATAGAATTCCATACAATACTGGTGTCTCCAGGGTGGTGCTCCTCACACTAGGATGCAATCCCACCGCTGAGACCTCGGTACCATCTCCACCTGCCATTTGAAGGTCCTCCCAGGACCAGTCCATGTGGTCCCCTATTTCGGGTACCTCTGGTTGCTGTTGGGGGGGAGACCAGTTGTCTCTTCTCCCAATAACAAATTCAGCTGCTAGGGAGGGAGACCGACTGTCTCCTCTCCCAGTAAGACATAATGCCGCTGGGGAGAGAGACCAGTTGTCTTTGCTTCCTGTAACTCCAGCTGCAGCTGGGGATCTGGGCTGACTGCCCAGCATCCCTTTAGGGCCGGTAGAGAGACCTCAGTCCCATCTCCACCTGCCTGCTGGTGGTCTTCCCAGGATCAGTTTATGAGGTTCTGGTACTGCTGCTCCAGCTTGCTGTCAGGGTGGTGGTTCGGTGCCCGGGACCCAAACACTGATTGTGTGGTGGTGCGAGGACCGGGACCCAGTATGCCTGATGATAAGTGGGAGTCTTCAGCGTGAGAGTGGATAGCTCAGGGTCGGGTGCAGGGTAACTGCACACCACCTGGTTGAGCACTAGCGTTTGTGCAGCCACATACCAGAACCCTGATTCAGCTTATGCGGATCCCAGGAACTAGGAGCAGGAATTAAGCAAACCTCCCAGTATCCAGTACAGAAACAAGGCAACACTAGAGATAGGCACCATTCATGAAAACAAGACAAAACTAGGAGAACCCAGAACCGGAGCAGGACAGAAAGCAGAACCCAGAACATATACACAAGACATGAGGAAAACAAGAACAGGGCAGGACAGGACTGTACATGAACTGGGAATACAATACAAAATAAATCAAGACAAGAGATACAAGGCAAAACAAGAGGAGACATAACTAAGTACTATATATGAAAATCATGGGGATTTAGTTACATTATATGATCATACATTGCATAAGCCTGCCAACAACGCCAATGTACCCCATATCTGGCAGGTCCTACTCTGCCTAATGCAAACTAAACCAACCAATGAAAAGACACATAGTACTTACCTGCAAAAAAGGTCAGAAGACTTGAGCAGCTGCCTGCAGGAACACTGAAACAAAAGGGACGATGGAAAACAAACAGGTGTGGCAACATAAAACAAACATATAAATGAATCTAAGAGACTGGGAATTCCAGGGACGGAATACAGGAATGAACCCTGAAATCACAGTATAAAGAAAACCAGACATAGAATAGAAAACTAAAAAAACAAGAAAAACTAAACAAGAATTGTAAAAAGAGTACTGAGTACCAGAAGCCAAAGCCAGAATGAACCGCAGCTAGGAACAGGATGTGACACTTCCATTCCTCAGTTTCATACACTCAACGACAAAACACTGCTGGACAATTTAAGATGGCCACCACCACGTTTGAATCTGTTCCAGTTAAAAGTCCAAGGGGCAGAAACAGTACTTTTGAACATGGGTTATCACAGGGCCCATAGTCTCAGGGTAGGAGACTGGCAAACAGGCCCCTCCAAAAACCAGTGGCGAAGTTGCTTTCTTCACATATAGTTTGTAAGTTAAAAGTTAGAGTATATTTCATGATATAAATTACTTTTTCAAATTTCCTCAGTTCCTGTTTTAGTGGATAAATGTCTAATTTGAAAAAAAGACTTGACATTCAACAAAACATGATGATGATTATAATAGTAATAAGGCATGTGCATTTCATTTCAAATGTTCTTTGATTCATCAGAATTTTGGTTGAAATACCAGTCATCCAAATTCTGTAACTCTGAATCATTATATGACCAAATCACGAAACAAACGAAGCTGGCAATGGACGAGCCATTAAGTTAACTTTATTTGGGGGGTTGGGGAGGCAGTGTTTGTGACTAAGTGGCTACTAAAAGAAACTGGACATACCCCATTTGTAATACCTTGGGTTGTCTACTTTTGCAACCCATAAGGGGTAATTCTTATTTTTGGGCTACCATATGGACTCAAAGGCAACATAACCGGTCTGGCAAATTTCAATGTGCATAAACTGAAAATTGTAATGTGCTATATTTGACCCTGTAACTTTCTAAAACACTATAAAACCTGTACATGGGGGGTACTGTTTTACTCATGAGACATTGATTAATACAAATATGTGTACTTTATTGTGTACCGTGTAAGCATGCAGAAGCCAAACACAGAGATATGGACACAAGTCTTCAGGAAGTAAGAGGCCTTTATTCACATTACCGATCGGGTCTCAGATGAACTCCTGTTCCAAAATTCTGAGAGACAAATACCTGGGGCTTGGGACTTTTGTTAACTGCATATCTCCTCCCATACAGTATAACCCCTGCTATATTCCTCAGACCAATCAGCACACAGGATATTCAGGATCACCTTATATGGCAGACCACATGGCTTGTTGAAGACAAAGGATTTTACTATCCACTTCCACACATGCTCAGTATACTGATGACTCATCCAACTGTTTGTAACCAGATACTAGTTAGCATATGCCATGTGGAGATTTTGGCCTACTAAATTTTGACCATGCTGGAATCCCATCACAATTGCATTAATAGCTAATTAGAGTTGAGCAAACCCGGACTATAAAGTTCGGGTTCGTACCGAACATTACGTTTTTTGGACCCCGGACCCGAACACGGACATATCAGTGTATGTTCGGGTCTGAGTTCGGTGTTCAGTGATTTAGGGCAGCCAATCAACAAGCGTTTGACTCGTGTGCCCTTAGAAGACATCACAGCCATGCTATTAATGGCATGGCTGTGATTGGCCAGTGCAGCATGTGACCCAGCCTCTATATATAAGCTGGAGTCGTGTAGCGCTGCACGCACATGAGCTCTTGTTAGTGTAGGGAGAGGATGCTGCAGCTCTGAGGGACAGATTAGGAAAGAATTCTGGTGTTGAATCTGCAAACTACAGCGATTATTCAAACTACAGAGATTATTTTTGTGGGTGCTATAATACTACATTTTTGTACCCTGCCCTGAGCCCAGTGCCACCAAGAGTGCAGTGCACTTGCAACTGCATTTGTGCCAGGCACATTACTTTAATCCTGTTCTGGTAGCTCAGTGGGCAACATCTAGGCATTTTTAAATACTGCAATTTTTTTGGTACTAAATAGTACATTTGCGTACTGCATTTCTTGAAGTCCAATAAAACCCTTAAATACTACTGTTACATTGTTGGTTTAAAACCATCAAACTTTTTGGTGCTAAATAGTACATTTGCGGCCTGTGGTGTACTTCATATCTGAGAGTCAAATAGAACCGTCAAATACTGTGCTCACAGCGCAGTTTTAAACATTCAAATTCTTTAGGAGCTAAAGAGTCAACTTGGTGTCTGCACTTCATATCTGAGAGTAAAATAGAACCATCAAATACCGTGCTTACATTGCAGTTTTAAACATCCAAATTCTTTAGGTGCTAAAAAGTCAATTTGGTGTCTGCAGTTCATATCTGATAGTCAAACAGAACCATCAAATACTATGCTTACATTGTAGTTTTAAACATTCAAATTTATATTATGCTTACATTGTAGTTTTAAACATTCAAATTTTTTAGGTGCTAAAAAATCAATTTGGTGCCTGCACTTCATATCTGAGAGTCAAATAGAATCGTCAAATACTATGCTTACATTGCAGTTTTAAACATTCAAATTCTTTAGGTGCTAAAAAGTCAAATTGGTGCCTGCATTTCATATCTGATTGTCAAACAGAACCATCAAATACTGTGCTTATATTGCAGTTTTAAACATTAAAATTCTTTAGGTGCTAAAAAGTCAATTTGGTGCCTGCACTTCATATCTGAGAGTCAAATAAAACCGTCAAATAATACTGTGACATAGCAGTTTTAAACATTTGAATTCTTTAGGTGCTAAAAAGTCAATTTGGTGCCTGCAGTTCATTTCTGAGAGTCAAATAGAACCGTCAAATACTGTGCTTACATTGCAGTTTTAAATATTCAAATTCTTTAGTTGCTAAAAAGTCAAGTTGGTGCCTGCACGTCATATCTGAGAGTCAAATAGAACCGTCAAATACTGTACTTACATTGCAGTTTTAAACATTCCAATTCTTTAGGTGCTAAAAGGTCAATTTGGTGCCTGCAGTTAATTTCTGAGAGTCAAATAGAACCGTCAAATACTGTGCTTACATTGCAGTTTTAAACATTTGAATTCTTTAGGTGCTAAAAAGTAAATTTGGGGCATGCACTTCATATCTGAGAGTCAAATAGAATCATTAAATACTGTGTTTACAGCTCAGTTTTAAAAATTCTAATTTGTTGGCTGCTAAATAGTACATTTGGTGTGTGCACTTCATATCTAGTGTATGTGTGCAACACTGGCTAGTTACCGCTTCTCAAGAAAGTCTAAAGACTTTTTTAAAAAGTGAAAAATAAGTGTTATTGTGATTGCTTCATATACAGAAGCATTAATATACATTTCTATATTGTGTAAAGACACAACTACAAAGTTAAAAACCAAACACCAAAACAACGTGGAATGAAGGTCATGCGAGTGACGTGTGCAGTTTGGAGGAAGAGGCGATGGTCGCACAGAGGCACCAGCAAAGCATGAGAGGAAGCAGGATGCAAAAGCGGAGCAGCCATCCCCTAGTACTCATCGGCATGTATTATCTTTAGAATTCCCACAGTTATCCAAGTAACAGATGGAGTGATAAAAGGAACCATAACAGATTTAACGAGCCATTTGCAGTTTCACAGTCGGGGGGGAGTCCGGTGACCAGGACCCAGACACTGTCTGGGCGGTGGCTGGATGACCGGGACCCAGTATGCCTGATGTTGAAGTTAGGAGTCACAGTGTGGAATGGATTAGTAGGGTCTGCTGCAGGGTAACTGCATGCCCCCTGGTGTTGAGCACCAGCGTTTGGCGGCCACATACCAAGACCCTGATGCAACTTCAGCGAGCAGCAGCAGGCGATAGTGGAGTTTCTGCTGCAGCATGCATGGGTCAGTCGCTCTGCACCAGACTTGCCCTCCAACTGATCCATGTTAAAAGATTTAAAGTGGACTCTTTACAATTACAGGGCTTCAAAAGAGCAGTGTATTGTTATTTGTCGTCACTACCTCCCAGTGTCGGGAGTGGGTAATTTGTGCGTCTGCTGCTTTCCTTGCATGTGGTAGCCGTTTCTCAGTCTCCCTCTCTGGAATCGAACCACGATTCCCCGTTATCCGTGGTCACCATGGTAGGCACAGAAAATAGCATTGAAAGTTGATAGGGCAGACATACAAATGCGTTGTCGCAGTCACGGGGATGTGCGATTGGCACAAGGTTATCACAGATAAGCGCAGCCGCCTGTCCTTGGCCAACGTGGACAAGCTCACGTTTATTAAAATAAACCAGGCATGGATCCTACCTTGTGCAGAATAGACATTTATTCTGGCCTCACCCAGCTATTTTTATACTCAAGTACACTTATTGTTTATTTTTTTTATATGTTCCAATATTTTGGGGGCTACCCCAATTAAAAAAATGTTTTAAATAAAAACCAGTGTTGGCTACCTCCTCCTCCTCCACCGCCGCCGCTTCGACCTACATCGCCACGGTGTATACCCAGATATATCAGAGCTGCTGCAGAAAGTGCGGGCCGTCTGTGCGCACTTTTGGCGTTCTCACCCTGCTGCTGCTGGCCTGTCTGAGCTGCAGCGTAACTTCGGCCTTCCCACTCACCTCCTCATATGCGATGCGCCCACAAGGTGGAACTCCACCTTGCACATGCTATAGAGACTGTGCGAGCAGCAGCAGGCGATAGCGGAGTTTCAGCTGCAGCACGCACGGGTCAGTCGCTCTGTGTAAGAGCACCACTTTACCACCAATGAGTGGGCCTCCATGCGAGACCTGTGTGCCATGTTGCGCTGTTTCGAGGACTCCACCAACATGGCCAGTGCCAATGACGCCGTTTTCAGCCTTACTATTCCGCTTGAAAAAACGCTTTGAGCGATGATGGAAGAGGACGTGGCACAGGAGGAAGAGGAGGAGGAAGAGGGGTAATTTCCACGGTTATCAGGACAGTCATTCACAAGTGGCTTGGATGGTGGGTTCCTGCACCAGCATAGGCCAGGTACACAATTGTCCAGCATCTCCACACTGTCCCATGGAAGCGTTCAGCTGTCCATCTCCCAAACACTGGAGAGAAAGAAGAAGTACCCCCTACCCACCCGTGATCCCTGGCCCTGAATGCCAGCATTTCAAAATTCCTGGCCTTTCAAATGCTGTCATTCCGTCTGGTGGAGATAGACAGTTTTAAAAACCTGATAGCGTTATTGGACTGCAAGAAATGTACCGCAGGCCGTAAATGTTTCTTTTTTTATATGTCTCAATATTTTGGGGACTACACCAATAAAAATAAAATAAATAATTATAAAAAAACAAAAACAAATAAAAACCAGTGTTGGCTACCTCCTCCACCACCACTCAGGGCCGGATTAACATAGGGGCTGATGTAGCTGCAGCTCCAGGCCCAGGCCCATGGAATAGGCCCATTGATTTAAAAAAAAAAAAAAATTTTTTTTTTACATTTTTTTTTCACACACTACTCTTAGGGATTCCCCCTGTCTTTTATTTTATTGGCACAGCCAGTATTTGAGGCTGCTTGGCTAGTGCCAATATTGCAGTGATACTGGCAATACAAATGCTGGTATTTTTCTCAGTATAAACAAGAGATTACTATGCAATACCAGCACTGGCCAGCATGGGTCGCTGTATGTGGAGACGTGCAGGGATAGGAGGTTCCAGCATATCCCTCCCTGCCTATCTCTACTCACTGATCTGCAGGGGTTCAGGTACAGAGAGCCCAGACAGCAACTCCCACCCTACAGAGACAGCCTACAGCTCAGGGAAGTAAGGTATGGGGGGAAAGGATGCAAGGAGACATACACTGAGACACTAAGGGACACTGGGAGACATTATGACACAGACACATGGGGACACATGGGGACCTAGTCTCCCAGTGCCCCCAGTCTGCCAGTGTCTCACTGTCCCCATGTCTCCTAGTGCCTCCATGTCTCTCAGTGCCTCGTGTCACAATGTCCCCATGTCTCCAAGCTAGTGTTCCTAGTGTCTGTGGCCCTGGTGTCTCAGTGTCCCCATGTCTCCCAGTGCCCTCATGTCTCAATGTCCCCTTGTCCCCCAGCCAGTGTCTCTAGTGTCTGTGTCCCTGGTGTCTGTGTCCCCATGTCTTCAAGTGTCCCCTATTTTCCCATTGTCCCCATGTGTCCCAGCCAGAGTCCCCTAGTCTCCCAGTGTCTCTGGTGTCTCCGTGTCCCTAGGTCTCCCCGTGTCCCCAGGTCTCCCCGTCTTCCTAGTGTCCTAGTGACATGGGGACCCTGGGATACATGGGGACACAGGGAGACATGGTGCATTGAGACACTGTGATACATAGGATCACTGGGAGACCTGGGGACACAACACTAGGGGACACTAGGAGACATGGGGCACTGAGACACTGATACATAGGAACACTGAGACCTGGAGTAATCGACATATGGGGCACTGAGTCATGAGGGCACTGGGAGACATGGGGGCACTGGAAGGAATCCATCTAGACAGCAGAATCAAACTAAGTAGTTTTTTGGTGATTTTACAGAATTTTCTCTTATGTCACTCCTTGTGATCTACATCATGTGATGTCACCCATACAAATTAAATTATGCAAATTAGTAAGGCCGGTATGTTTTTCCGAGAAAGGTGGCAACCCTAACTACTTTTCACATACTCTTACTTAAGTATGGAAACTTAAGAGGGATGCATGGGAACAAAACGTGTGTGGACTGGCTGACAATGAATATAGTTAAAGGGACACTATAGTCACCAGAACAACTACAGCTTATTGAATTTGTTCTGGTGAGTAGAATCATTACCGTCAGGCTTTTTGCTGTAACATTGTCTTTTCAGAGAAAATGCAGTTTTTACATTACAGCCTAGTGATAACTTCACTGGCCACTCCTTAGATGGCTGTTAGAGATCCTTCCTGGGTCATGGCTGCCTAAAATGCATCTAAACATTCAGTGTCTCCTCCCTCTGCATGCAGACACTGAACTTTCCTCATAGAGATTCATTAATTCAATTCATCTCTATAAGGAGATGCTGATTGGCCAGGGCTGTGTTTGAATTATGCTGGCTCTGACCCTGATCTGCCTCTTTGTCAGTCTCAGCCAATCCTATGGGGAAGCACTGTGATTGGATCAGGCCACCACTTCTAATGATGTCAGCAGACTGTTTGTTTTTATGAGTCTAACAGCATGCAGAGTTACAGCTTCAGGCTTGAATATAGTAAGATTTTGCTATAATTATGGAGGCATGAGGGGCCCAGGGAGGCTAGATGGTGGTGTTAACACTATAGGGTCATGAATTCATGTTTGTGTTCCTGACCCTATAGTGATCCTTTAAGATAATCCTGACTTTGGTCTCTCTAACACTGTGGCATGTTCCCTTTCTTCTAAACTCACTACATACAGCTTTTCTCTGTCCCAGACTATATACCAGGGAATTCTGCCTGCTAGTAAGAAGGTAAGGAGACAAGTGGACCAGCGAGTGCTAGGGAACAGTCCTTAGAAAGCGTTGAGTGAGAGCATCATTAGATGCATTTATGCCAATCTCAGGGTGCTGTCTGCATAGTATGACCTTAGTTGGCCAGCTGCATGATTGGAAGGCAGCCTGACATGCATTCATGCCAGGCTGGCCTTCTAATTCTTTTTGCAGACATGTCCTCTTTTTGGGCATGTTCGCCCCTTTTGGCAGGTTACGTGATTTGTGTCAGTGGCACACCCTTTTACCATGCCCATTGACTTCCTGCTTGACTGGACACTGCTGTTAGGGGTTATGGATTTACTTGAAAATTAGAGAGAGATTAGCCTAGGGTATGTGTTTTCTTATAGCTGCTGTTTTCTTTCTCTCCAGCACCATCTCCATCAGATACATGACGCTTGGGAGTGTTTTACTATTTTTGGTCAATATGATTCTGTAATTAGGCCTGTCATAATTGTCAGCACCAGGCCCACTGGGCTCTTAATCTGGCCCTGCCGCCACTTGCACCTACACCGCTATGGTCACCGCCTCCTCAACCTCCTACTCCACATCCACCTCCTCCTCTTAGTTCAAGATTATTATTTTTAATTTTTATGTATTTTAAGTTATCTTAAGTTATTTCCCTATCCACATTTGTTTGCAGGGCACTTGTCCTACTCTTACCCCCATTTTACTTCCTTTTGCAGCCCTCTAACCCTTTCCAGAACTTTTTTAGAGGCATTTTAGTGCCCAAAAGTTTGGATCCCCATTGATTTCAATGGGGTTTGGGTTCGGGGTCAAGTTAGAGCCCGAACTCAAACTTTTTGACGAAGTTTGGCAGAAACACGGCGAACCCGAACATCCAGGTGTTGGCTCAACTCTAATAAATACCTGATTTAAAAGGTCTCCAGTTAATCTCAAGTTCAACAAAGTTAAATATGTTTTCTTTACAACTGCTGTTTATTGGATGGGCTCTTTATCTTTGTCAGGGAAAAGACCCAAATAATATAAAAGACTTCCAGATTAGATTATATCGAGCGCTCAGGAAATCAGACTTGCGGACACAGGTTGTCAGTGTAAGTTGATTTGTACAGTGTAACGGGAAAGCAAAGATTTTTATGTAAAAAGAGGACAGTGTCTATGTAATTAATAACAGTTGATAAAAAGCATAACGTAACAGCTAGCATATTCTTCTTATCTATGAACATGGAGGCATTGCGGTCAGAGTGTTCTAAACACAAGACATTTGGTACATAACAATTACATGAAAAGTATGTGAAAAATACATTCCACGAATAATAAATTGCAGTTTAACTGAATGTTCTAAGACTATATTCAGTGATCATCAGAAAAATATATGTTTCAGTAAGTAGTCCATACCTTTTAGACAATAAATCAAATCCGTAGAGATCAGTTTTTTACACGTCTCCAGTTCTGCTCTTGATCCAAATATAGATGGAACAAATAGAATTTGAAGCTGTTTCCAATTATGCCACAGAAATGGTAAAGAATATTCTCGTCATCAAACTCATATTTCTCACTGAAACATCAAGCTGTTAATACCCTATAAATGCACTATTATAAACGTGAATATTCTGGTTTGCAAAAAAAAATAAAAAAATCTGAAACTATTTTTTTAAAGCTAAATATTTATACTGAATTTGATATAAAAAAAACTCATTAAAGTAAGAATTCAAAAGACAATTTAAGGTTAAACAAGCCATACAAGAAAATAATATTTTAAGTCAGGTATGTATGAATTTCAAATTTAAGACCAGGGTAGTTGAACTAAGGTATGAGTTCTCACTTTATTGAAAGAGCCTGTTAATCAATTTCCTCTTAATCAATTTATTTTTACAGTCCTGTGACCAGATTACCAGAGAACTGTTTGCACTTTCCTTTTATATAATAGTTCAATGCTATCATATCCTAGCCCTTTTAATCAGCTCACTGACAAGGAATATTAT